TATCATATAGCCGCGCTCCCATCAACGCACCGCACAGTTCCAACCTAGGTATTGTGGTAGGCTTAATAGGAGCTACTCGGCTCTTAGCCATTAACAATCGAACCATAACTTCACCAGAAGTACTGACGCTACGCAAATAAATGCAAGCTCCATATGCACGCTCTGAAGCGTCCGAAAAAACATGCAACTCTAACGACTTACAGGAGTCGCAAATAACAATCCTCGGTACACGAAGATCGTTCAAAAGAGGCAAAGTTTTACGAATGTAATTCCAATGACGATTAATATCATCAGTTAATGGTTCGTCCCAAGCTAATTTTTTAATCCAAAGCTGCTGTAACAATATTTTCATATTAATTATGCATGGAGCCAAAAGTCCCAATGGGTCAAAAATTCGAGCAATCATCGAAAGAATATCACGTTTTGTATTACCATTAGGAACTAGAGAACTTATTGGGAAACAGAGTTCATCAGAATCTGTGTGCCAACTAAGACCTAATAACTTATTTGGCTCATCACTCCCAATATTCAAATCGAATGATGATGCTTGAACGTCCTGAGGATCAATCATCAAAAGAGGATTATTCGATTTCCATTTTCTTAATGGCATACATGCAGAAGCAAGTACATTAATAACTTGCTTACGTATAGCTTGAACTTCAGCCAAATCGTTACCGCCCGTTAATAGATCATCAACGTAAAAATCATGTTGAATGATCTCGGAAATTTTATCATCCTTGCAGTCGATTCCTAACTGCTTTAGACAGCGTGTAGCCAGAAATGGAGCACTGGATGTTCCATATGTGACCGTGTTCAATATGAATTTTGTAATTGGCTCAGCTACATTACTACGCCACAGTATTTGCTGCAGATGTCTATCAGACGGGTGGACAATTATTTGTCTGTACATTTTTTCAACATCTGCAGACAAAACATATTTATGCTGCCTAAATCGAAGCAATATGGATATCAAATCATCTTGGACGGTGGGACCAATCATTTGGATGTCATTAGAATAGAAAGAATAGAATAGAAAATCATTTATTCAAATAAACTTACATTGAAGCACTTTTGAATAGTCATAACATTTTTTTTTTTTAATCTACCGCTCATTCGGAATGCTGTCTCATCACAAGAAGAACAAGCAAGAAACTTGTGTGTTGCTCTTTTAAATAATTTATTCTTACTTACAATTTAAGTTTAAGTGTGTGAATACAAACCACCGATTAGCACTAATTCAATTAAATACTCAAAAAGAAAAAAATATTGAATACATAACCAACTGGTTAAACAATTAATAAGAGGAAATCAGTCATAGTGATTAGAGCAAACCAGTCCCTACAAGCAGCACCCGTTCACGAGTATGACGGATGAGCCAGCCATCACTGCGCTCGACCATATTTTAGGGAGCCCAATGACCCGGCCCACCACGCCGCCACAAGTCTGGACATTTTAGTGAGCATGACTACTCAAAACACCAGACCACGTCATAGCTACTCACAATTGCCATCTGATGTTTATAGTATTCACATTTCACATAAGAATGCATGCGGCAATTAATACAAAACCCGCTACGCTTTCATATTTCTAATATGAAATCATTGTAAGAAACACCTGAGGTCGTAGGAGAACTGGCATTAAATACAACACGGAGTTTGGTGCTCGTGCTACTATCTCGCATAACACCGTGGTGAGGAATGAAATATTCCTTTTCATCTACCTCAGGCTGTTTATATTCTGACATATGGCCAAGCGATTTATACTCTGTCATGAAGTTGCTATACATATCTCTCAATTCAAGATTGCTCGTCAACCTACGCTCTAAAGAAAATAAACAGTGTTCCGCTCGATGAAACGAATTACCTAAAACAGAAGAATCATGTTTAAGCGGTATACGGACGCAGAAACGACCGTCATCGAGGCGCGTTGTGTTCGCAACAAAATGTTCCTCACACATTCTTTCTTCCGGAAAATAATTTGATTTGGAGCATATCTCTTCCAGCTGCCAGAATCGTGTCAAGTCAGCTCGAATGTCGTCCAAATCATGACTTGCACTAGAATCAATTTTATTAAAATTACATTTTATATCATTTAAATGCATAATTGTGTCATGATGACTAAAGATAGGACCTGAAATTATCCACCCTAATCTGGTTTCGCACAATACAGGCTTTTTCTTACCTAATATTATTCTCCGCGTCCCTACCAAATCCCAAAAGAGATCGGCACCAATCAAGATATCAACATCTGCTGGTACAAAGAACGTAGGATCCGCCAAACTAATGTCAGTAGGGATGTCAATATTAGAAATATTAATTTCGTGACCGGGTACATTACTTGTGATTGATGGCAAAACATAACATTGAAGCTCAGAAGAGAAACTGTTATTCAACGACGTCATGTGCACATGACAAGTTTTGCCTACGCGTAAAGTTGCGTTATTTACACCCATGATTGACTTATCTACCTGACAGGTTTCCAAATTTAATTGTCGACACAATCTCTCAGTCATTAGACTTGATGTACTACCACTGTCTAATATTGCACGTACTATATGTTCGTGATTATTCTTGTCATATAATTTTACCAACGCAGTAGATAATAATACATCACATTGAATTTTATTATAACTAGACATATTTGCTGCTAAAGTTACATTGTCAGAAGCAGCAGTCGTTGAAGACGACGCTAAAGGTGTAGTTTCAGATACGACTCTATTTTCATTACGAATATGATGATCATTGGCTGCATGAATCAGAGTGTTGTGTCGACGCTTGCATATTTTGCAACCTGGCCTTTTGCATAGATTAGCAAAATGACCTACACGAAAGCAATTGAAACATACCTTAAAACTGGGTAGTACCTTTAGGCGCGCTTCAACGCTCAACGCAAGAAACTGGGGGCAACCGGTTAGACTATGGTCACCCTTACACTTAGGGCAGATTCGATTATGTGATTCTGCTGTATTGGAATTCTGATGTGGATGACTGCCATGAACTGAAACCATAGATTTTAATTTCATAGTCGATTTATGATTTAAATTGCCCTGATTGACACGTGAAAGCTCTAATGTTTCAATCAAATCTGCACGATTTCGGATAAATTCTAGAAAGGTGTCAAAGGTAATTGAAGTATCTTTATGTGAATGCCCCTTAAATTCCTCCCACTCTCTATAAGTTTTACTATCTAATTTATAGGTTCACCTAATGATTCAAGTGCCCGCAAGTTTTTATTTACCTGATCAATTAACCGCTTTAAATTTGCTGATGACTCCTTTGTTATTGCTTCCACATTGAACAAAGAAGACACATGATTTTGTATCAACAGACGTTTGTTGTCAAATCTATCGCACAAAAGTTTCCACGCAACAGCATAATTACTAGATGAAAACTCAACTGCTTGAATTACCACGGCAGCAGAACCCTCTAACGATGCACGCAAATAGTGAAATTTATTCACTTCGTCTATTTCATCATTGTTGTGTATAAGGCTAGTAAAGGTATCTCTAAATTCCAAATAATCATCGTATGAACCACTGAATCGCGGTAGCTGGATGGTCGGAAGACGCACCAGCTTATGATTATTGCTCGCTCGAGTACCTCCATCACTACCCATATTGCTCATAGTCTCAACATTAACATTTTGTAAACCTTGGGCTTTCGCGATTGCCTTGAAATATTGTGATTCAAAGTCGGAGCGCTCTTTAAATTGCTCTTCACTATTATCAACTATACATTCAAGGCGCAACTGTACCTGATCATACTGTTCATACAACGATTCAATTTTACCCATACGTAATTGTAATTCTCTGGCATCCGAGAGACTTAACGGTTCATCAGTTAGTGTATGCAAATAATTAATAAATGCAGTTAAACGGCCTTTAAAACTGCCTCGCTTTTTTATTAACTCCTTTTCTTCGGTCATTATGGGATTCGAGTGTTGTCGACCTGGAATTTATACAATTAAAAAATTAATTCTAATTAATGAAATAAAGATCTACGATGAATAGGTATGAATACAAAATATTAAGCTAACAATATGTTAATTCGATAAAGAAATATATTTATATGTATATTATATAAATCTAGTAAATGTACTGTAAATGTTGTGACATTACATATATTACATATGCACAAGCATAAGTACCGATTCAAATTGACATTAATAGAGAAAATACTAGATTGTTTCTTAACTTGCTGTCGTACATACGGAAAATTATTTGTTTAACATAAATGTACAGATTCCTTAAGTACCTAAATTGTAATATAATATAGAACCTGACAATAAAATTAAACACCAAACACCAAAGTAACATTTAACACAAAAGAATTAGTTATACCTACTTTACTTACATACAACTGACGTGAATAACTATTGAAATTTGCAATTATAAGGCATATATTTTGATAATTAACTCAAACAATGTAGCATTAGTGCTTACTATACTTAATTAAGTAGATTTGTAGTTAATTTTAGCAAATTATGAAAAAGTACTAATATTATTCACAATGCAGTAGGTAGGAAACCAATGAAGTTAAAATAATGTGATACAGATAAATAACGTAATTATCGTTTACTAACCTTAATAAAGTTTTTGATTTACTTATAATATTACCTGTAGAGTGTTGGGATAAGTTTATTATATAGTAATTTATACTTAACACCACTATAAATTACACTCGATTCACATCCAATGGTAGGTAGTTCTGCCGGTCAACTTGCATCCAATTAATTTCTCTTTTATTTCTTGTATTTCGATTTAATTCCACAAAATAATAACTGATCCGCATTTAATTCACATCCGGCTTCGATATAGGACCATGTTCTGGAGTAATCACAGCGGATTTTCGGGAATAATGAAATTAAAGACGCAGAGTAACTTGTACGACTTCTATATTTTTAACTTAATAAAAACTACAAAACTGTATGAGCACAGATAACAAAAGTGTAATATTTGCGTAAATAAAATAAGTAGGCGCTTTGACTTCACAACACCGCCACTAATGGCTGCCTGTGTAGTTTTCCGCCTTAAACGAACAAGGCGTGGTACAACGTTTCGCCTTTACACCAAATTTATTGTGATAATAACACATACCATTATTCCTGGGTTTTGATCTGGAGCGGGAGCGTGTTGTACTTCTGCCTCCATAACCTGTTCGTCTTGACGCGTGCATTGTAAGTTTTGCGACTTGCCTGCTAAGTTCTGCTATTTGTACTGACATACTTTCTAATGGGCTCGGTTGCTGGTGTGCGAAGCTCGTGGGTTCTGAATGGATCTCTGCCACGTTTGTCACAGACGGTGAAGCTATAGCTTGAATTTTGTCCGCTAATTCTGCTAATTTTTGAATAGGCATATCTTGATGTGAAGCTATTATCGGCTGTATGTTCTGCGGGAGTCTGCTTGACCATATGGTTCTAATAAAATCATCCGGTATTTTGGGTCCCGCTAGATGTCTTAAGTGTCGTAAGAATTGAGAAGGTTTACGACTACCTAATTCTTCAAACTCAAGTAATTGCTTCACGTTTTGCTCCTGAGTGGCTGAAAGTCTACGTATTAATTCCGCCTTTAGTGTAGCATACATATTTTCTTTGGGTGGGTTCTCAATAATATCTTCCACTTCTATTATGTGCTGTCGGTCCAATTGCCCACAAACATGGTAGAATTTTGTGCTATTACAATTAATACGTGCCAGTAAAAATTGTCCTTCCAGGTGTGCAAACCAAAGCGCTGGACGATCAGGCCAAAACGGAGTTGGTTTTAATCCCACTCGACATAATTCGCCATTTTCATTTTGTGAGATTAAAGTCGATTGTGGCGGTGGCGTAGAAAAAATAGGCGGTTGCAGTAGAATATTCTCCGCGGGCGAACTGGGCGTGGCACCGGCACGTTGCATCTTGATTTTTTTCTGCGACTTAATGTTCAATGTACGGGGTCACCAATATAGCGATAATGTTCCTTTATTTAAATAAAAGTCACTCACTATCTTCAACGTATATTGTAAGAATATTTTACAAGGGAAAGCGACAGTTTAGACAAGCATAATACAGTTTATAAATAAGGTATAGAAAACACAAAGATAGACACTACAAAGAAAGAATAATTAGGCGTAAGCTAAGCACTAGAAAATTATAAGCGCGAGCGCGGGTTAGCTAGTTAACGAATGCACGATGACTGCGGTGCTCACAGCTATGCAGCCGGAGCGCAGCGGCCGGCGGCTACGCATGATTGCTTACGGACACGGCTAACGGTATTTAACCGGTTGCGGCAGGTAATGTGTGTAGTGTGTTTGAGTATGGAATATATCGCTATAAAATAAATACAATTAATTATAATGTTGTGTGTAACTGTATAGTGTGGATGTTGAAACATACAATATATAAATACAATAAATAAGTGTATGTGTGCCACAGAGTTATCCTCTCTGCGCAGTGGTGGAAAAGATGGCTGACAGAAATTTCCCTGAGCAGCCTTGGCAAGAGACCAAAAAGCCCGGAATCCAGATGGAAGACTGTTCAGTCTCCTACCAATTCTGCTGATGTGCTCCGACTTTGCTGTGGCTATAACTCTTTTGAAGGACCTGGAAGCGGATTTATATTTCCTTTTATGGGCACTGGTATCTGGATCATTCGACTTCACAGCTGCAATCCAGGCACGGAAGCATTCCTGCTTATGGCGAGACGCCGATCTACAGGATCCGCCATACCAGGACTGAGATCTACCACCGACAGGTACCAGGGAATTTGGAATAAACATCTCCATTCCCTGAAGTACTACATTGGTGACAGATTCAGCTATTGTATCAGGATCGTGCAGTGCGAAGCAAACTCGCCCCCATGGGTAAGATGCAAAAAAACTTCGCATCTCATACCAATCTGCCGACTTAAAATGCCAAACACGACGTCGACCAGTAGATCGCGGCAAAGAAGGACGCGTGAGAGCACTTCGCTCCGTATCAGACAATGATCAGAGGATCCCAGTGGGGCTCCCACAGAGATCTGATATCCGTCTGGATGAGAAGTCAGCAGAAGGTCCAACAGTGAAGGTATATAGTCAACATCAGGAATTCGCGTAGGCGAGGATACCAGTTGCGTCAAACCATATGTTCAAAGTGGTAGAGCAAGCTGTACGACCACACGTGGTTGTTCAGCTCGATTGGGCCGCTCGAACCGGGAAATACCACACCTCGGCAGAAAACCGGCGTTAAGCGATATCGCGTTTCGCATGGTGAGCTGTTTCGGATGCCCCTCCCCCTCCCCCTATCCCTTTCCTACTTCCTTCCCCTACCCACCCCTTTCTTACATACCATGGCAGCGGATTATAAGAGATTTTTACCCCAGGGTGGTACCAGTAACCATGTTACAAAAACTAAGTTGTTCTGGTGACAGAGCGCAGTAATATTCTAATTGATTTCCTTTCCATTAAGACATTTTTCACTCCTTCATGGCTATAATTATTATTTTTTTTACACATTTATTATATTCCTGTTCATAGTATTCATATATATCAAATTAAATTGTGGTATCTCGGTATTTATAAAGTTCTGGTACTCTAACTGTAATTCGTACTTTCCAAGTTCTTTTATTACTTATTTATTTCACATTATTTCGTTTAGTTCATTTTAGTTTATTAAAAAAATATACAAGGTACATTATTCAACCTCGAGGACATAGCTGAAAATCAGTGTTTTGCTCTTTGAGTGATTCTCCACACTGAGCTATGTACCAATTTTGTATTGCTGTAGCACACACATGCAGGTTTACCCTTTATTGAACTGTTATATTGTAGGTACTTGTCATTTGATGTTGTAATTAAGCCTGTATGTGTGTACTAAGATACAAATAAAAACTATTATCTATCTATCTATCTTACTGGAGAATCAACCCCTGAGATATCACACTCAGGCTGCCCTGCGTATTCTGGGGTGGGCAATTCTCCGCTCAATTTGGCCAGAAGGAAATCGAGCAAATCTCCATCGGCGTTTCCCTTGCTCATAGTCAGCGGTCCAGCGGTCTAGTACACCGCTTTACGACCGATGGTCGCGGGTTCGATTCCTCGCACGGCACAAACATTTGTATTCATGAGTATGATTGTTTGTATCGGTCTGGGTGTTTTCTATATATAATATGTATGTATTTACAAAAAAAAAATATCTATGTATTTGTATCAGTTATCTAGTACCCATAACACAAGCTTTAGCTAGCTTAACTTGGGTCTAGATGGCGCTGTGTGAATTGTCCTAAGATTATTATTATTATTATTATTATTATTATTATTATTACATTCTACTAACGAATAAATTAAAAGAAAATCTGTGCTGAAGAATTAAAAGTAAAATTACTGCTAAAGAATTAAAAATAATACATAACTGTAGGTTAAAATTAGATCATTCTACATTTCATTACAATATAATTAAAATAAGAAAATACATAACATGCATTATTAATTAAAATAATATGACGTATGTATAAACTATTTACATGCGTACTGTTGTAAAATATTAAAACAATCACATGAATATAATTATAATATCATTAGGCATTAAATAAGTTAATTTTGATACAATTTCGCTATATTAAGGCGAGCTGCTGCAGCAGCCAGTCTGCGTGTCCGTTTTGTGGGCTTTTGTGCATTGGATATGGTGGGAGAGTGTTTCACATTTCCATCATTATCGCCACCACTTTCTGCACTGGACCAATGGTCAATATCCTGGGTATCCTGTCCCTCGTCCTGGGGCGAACTCTGTGATTTTATTTTAGACTTGACTTTAATCAGTTGACGTCTATTGCGTCTGTACCGTCGTCCTGTGGAGTCGGTTACAAAGTATGAACGAGGTTGTGGGGCTCGTCCTTTCACCCGTACGCATTTTCTACCACTAGTATCTGCCATGCTACCGATTGACCCGGTTTCAATTCTGTTAACGCCGTTGACCGTTGATCGTAATATTTTTTGCTAAGCGATTGTTTACGAATTATAGTCTTATAATCTCGAGTGTTGTCGCGATATGGTTGTAACTTGCTTTCATGCACCGGTAACTTAGTATTGAGCCTTCGTCCCATCAACAGCTCTGCTGGCGAGCTAATACCGTCCCTTGGTGTGGCTCTAAAGTTTAGCAATCCTAGATAAAAATCTGAACCAGAAATTAGGCACTTAATAAGAATGTCCTTGATAGTCCGTACACTCTTTTCACTTTGACCGTTGGATTGGGGATAATTCGGTGACGTTGTAATGTGACTAAATTCCCATTTCTTGCAAAATTCATTAAATTCTTTGGATGCATATGCCGCCGGCCCATTGTCAGTAATCAACTCACTCGGGATGCCATGTCTTGCAAATTGATCTTTCAAGACCAGAATAACAGACTTACTATTTATATTTTTTAAAGGGGATACTTCAATGAAATTTGAAAAATAGTCAACTAATATTAAAAAATATTTTTTGATGTATTCAAATATATCCGAACCTACTTTCGACCATGGTAAATACGGAACTGTATGAGACAATAGAGGTTCACGTGTGGGACGCGCTGCCCGCAAAGCACAGGTGCGGCAGTGACGTACAACCTGTTCCACGTCCCTTGACATCCCTGGCCAAAACATAACCTCGCGTGCATGTCGTTTACATTTATCTATGCCTAAATGCCCGTCATGTAATATTTTTAGCATTTCCGATCTCAACTGTAATGGAACATAAACCAAATTATTTTTGAATATTATACCATTTATAAATTCCAGGGTTTTCCTGTAAGACCACTGTCCTCTCACTCTTTCATCTACTAAATATTTATTATCCGGCCAACCTTTCTTTATGTATTCAATTATTACTTGACATTCTTGATCTTTCTTTACTGCCTCCCTTATTAAACTTATTTTATTATCACTAAACCTTACATTTTCTATAAGAAAACGCGATTGCTCTGCAATTTCCTCATTTATATTTTCCTGTAATAATTCTGGTATTGGGGCTCTCGATAAAGCATCAGCAACATACATGTACTTTCCCGGTTTATATGTGACTGTAAAATCATAACACTGAATGCGCATCATCATACGTTGTAATCGCGCGGGAACCGAATTTAAGGATTTATTAAATAGTGTCTCCAATGGCTTGTGATCTGTTTCGACCGTAACATCCTTCCTACCATACACATATTGATGGAACCTTTCCAAAGCAAATACTATTGCCAACAGCTCTTTTTCTATTTCTGCGTATCTGCATTGAGTATCAGTGAGTGTGGATGATGCAAATTCCACTGGACGGCCGGCTTGTAATAATACCGCTCCGAGCGCTCTCGAGCTCGCATCTACTGATAACAGAACTGGTTCGCGAGTAGAATACAACGCTAGGACGGGAGCACCGCACACTGAGTCTTTCAACTGCTGTACCGCCGTATCGTGAATATCACTCCAATTCCAGACACAATCTTTTTTTTAGCAACGAACGAAGTGGTGCTGCGACTTGAGAGTATTGTGGTATAAATTTGGATAAGTAATTTATCATACCTAAAAAGCGTTCCAAAGCGGGCCTATCATGTGGCTTGGGCACACCACTAAAACTAAAAGTGTGTCCTAAATAGCTCACACTCAACACAAAACTGACACTTTTCTTTATTGAATTTTATACCTGCTTCACGTGCCCTATCCAGCAATAGCTTTAATCTTTGATTATGCTCTGATATGGATGATCCCCAAACCAAAACATCATCAATGAATGACTCAACATCCTCTAGACCTTCTACTAATATTTGTCGTATTTTAGCATGAAATACCTCGGATGCACAGTTTATACCGTACGGTAAACGTAAGAATTGATACCTACTGAATGTACATAGATCTGCACTCTCATCATACAGCTGTATCATCCAAAAACCTGACCGAGCATCTAATTTGCTAAAAT